CCTCCGCCTGCAAAGGCCTTTCTCCCCACGTGTGTCTCCTGAGACCTCCGTGTGAAACCACAGTCTCGGCAGAGCCCAGATCACAGCTGCCACACTCTTGTCACTGTCTATTGAGCTCAGCCTCGTCTGTGCAGACTGAGTGTTGTCACAGGCTGCTGCCTCAGGCCTGGCAGAAGCAGCGAGCTGCTTTGACCATTTCTCTTCAGATCGACACAGGCACATCACCAGGTGTCTTGCGACTGGTTGGGCAGAGGGCTGTGCATCCTTGGTCTTTAACCAGTGTCTCTGTGCAAAACAGAGGATCAGCAGTGTCTTCACAGTTGCTACTTTGGTACCCGGGGTCAAGGCCAGGTTTAAACGCACTGGCTGGCTCTGGGCAAGCTCCCAACTACCCTGAATCTCACCTTGGTCATCTCTATGGTGGGGCTGGTCATGGCAGCCTTGTGGTTTCTAGGGGGTTCTAATGAGAGACCCAGGCATAGCTCTGGGTCTGGAAACGTGGTCACTGGCACATATTCACAACAACCTGGATGTCATGTTTCTGCTCTTTGCCCTGTCAGTTCCTTCACATGACCCCTGCTTCAACATCTCTATTGAAAAGCCCTCCTCCCTGCTTCTCTTTCTCTGCTAACCCAGTCCTGGCCCCTGTCACAGGTGTCAAAGAATATACCATGCTTAAGTGTGCAAAGAGAAGTTCTATGCCTTGCTTTCAGAGCCACAAGTCAAGATGAGGCTGGTATTTGTGTGGCTTGGGGAAGGATGGAGGTCTAAACTAAGACACTCAGGAAGAGGACATGTTTGGACTGGCAACATGACCCAGTTGTGTCCATGAGGTTGTTGAAGTAGGACTGGTATTGGCCATTTGGCTTTCAGAGGCTAGTCAATGCAAACTGTCCCTGGCGAGTTTGGATAGACTGTCAACTAGTCTGTGGTCGGCTGTTATGGCTTAGAGCTGGGGCTAGAAAACAGCTGGTAGGTCTGTCATCTGCAAAGCTGGGGAAAGGAGCCAGGCATTAGTGGCGCACGCCTTTAATCCCAGCACTCGGGACGCAGAAGCAGGTGGATCTCTGTGAGTTCAAGGCCAGCCTGGTCTACAGAGCGAGTTCCAGGACAGCCTCCAAAACAATACAGAAAAACAAACAAACAAAAAATCCTGGGGAAAGGCAGGAGGTGAAGGGTCATCACTTAGCCACTGGACTGGTGGCTCAAGTCAGGGCCACGCCCGATCACCACGGCAAACCTGATATCTAGTGCACTGTTTGCACATGGCAGGCAAATAGTCACCCTCTGCACCCTTGGAACCCCTGTGCTTTCTAGTTTCTTGTGCCCAGGAGGATTGTCAGCTTCTAGCATTTGGGGGCTGTTCTGAAGCACACAGTAGCGGTTTGGCGTCTCATTGTTGGTATCTGATACAACAATGGTCTGGCTGGGCTCACTTGGCTTCAACCACTTAAATCAGGCCTTAACCAGGACCAAGAGGGTGGCTGTTGGAATTGAGGCCCAAGAGCTCCTATCTGGTGACCACACAGTGTGGAGAGAGACAGGCCTTTTAGAAGCCTCTGTGAGCCTATCCCTGGTTACTGACATGAAAGGGTTATCCCCACACATCCGATATTTGCAGAAAATGTGGATTCTTTCAGATTCTGAAACTCATTTCCATGACAAAACTCTTGGGGAGAGAAGATGAAGGCCTGGCTTTTGAGGAACAATCTCCCAGCTGTAATGAGCCTGAGGATGGCAGTGGGAAAAGGAGTTATAATTAGAATATGAAATGGGGAAAATTAATCTAGTCCAGGCAGTGGTAACAGGGTGTCCTGACGCTTCATAGCAATTCTTAGGCTGTTGTCCCCCTGTGTTTCTTCTGCACATTTTAAAGCACACAGAAGGCTGTGTAGTGTGAAAAAAATGGCTTTTGGCGGAGGGACCAATAAACTGTGAGGTGTACACAGGATCTCTGCCCACGTGCCATCACTTAATGTGTTTCCCCGGGAACACGAAATGCATGTTTACATTCACGCTTTCGGGAGTTCTAGCAAACACTTGCAGGTGTGTGGTGTGTTTCTGCATCTGCCCCCTCCTTCCTGTGTGTTCTGGGATTGTGTGCCCGTTTTCCAGTCTGATAAAGTACCTTGTACTTGTGCTCTGTGCACACTGGTTGTGTCACGAATGGATCCGAGGCCGGTGGGACCGAGTCGCGCGTGACATGGGTTTGAGGCACACGGGAGTCCACACTCTCTGTTCACCTCAGCATGTCCTGGGTAGTGGTGGAGATGCGAGTGCTTTCCATTGGGTCTGAGGGCACATGGAGGAAGGTAACCCTGCTCTGTCTGAGGGAAGGGGTAGCTCTGTGACCCTTTCCTTAGCTTACTCGTCCTCTTACCAGAAAGAGTCCTCCATGAGGAGGGGAACAAGGGAGAAATCTCTGGTCCTTGCTCCTGGAGGCCAACCCTCAGGGACCACCCTATCTCACTTCCTGAATCCAAGTTCTTTGCCCAGTATGGCTTTGGTAGAGGTGGGTAGACAGCTGGTCTCCTTCTGCCTTAGCCCCTGTGCACAGCTGTTCAGCCCAGCATACTCCAGGACACTGTGCAAGGTGCCCAAGCCTCCCCACATTGAGGCAGACCGAGGCTCTCCAGGAACACTCCACCAACAACGTCCTTCTTCTAAGCCGAGCAAGCTTCACTCTAGCATATGATAGCTCTTCCCTCGACATTGCTTGAATTGACAGGTGCATGAATGAATAAGTGAGCCTGTTTGTGAGACTCTGCTGACCTCACGGGAGTCCATGCCCTACCCCCTTATCTGACCCAAAACCTCTTGCCAAACTCCAGAAGGGCTTCCTGTCCAAGGCCATACTCCACTGCTCACTCTGGATGACTCTTCCCTCTCCTGAATTTCTAACATACTTGCTAAGTGTCTTCTGTGTCTACCGCCCTTGGGCTGATTGCTGATCACATGGAAGGATCTAGAAAAGCCTTGGCCTCTGTGTACAGGGAGCTTGCAGCATGATTGGGAAGAACCCCGGCAAAGCAAACAGATGGCACTTGTGTGGTCTCTTCCCCACAGAGCAGCTAGCCCTCTCTCTGTATTTTCTCGGGTTTTAATGGGAGAAAGAATGCTGTCTCCATTGGGCCATTGAGATCCTCAATAGAGAGCATGCCACTCAGAGCCAGGTAGAGACATTCATTCACCACATTTGTTCTGTCACTCGCCCACTGTATATGAAGAAGATGGGCTGTTTTCGTCCGGCCAGCTGCATTCTATCCAGAGTTTAATAGCTGATGGCTATCACACAGTGTTTAGGGGGACACCTTCCAGTCTGTTTTCTTGTTATATATTGTTATGTATTACCAACTTATACCATTCTGTTTAGTTGCTAATGTTTTAGAAAATGTCTCAGCTCCCTGGTTAAACTTCTTCTCCATGCACAGCATGAAGTCCTGGATCCCTGGGTGTGGCAGGGGAATCCAATGCGAGCACTGAAGACAGTAAATGTTAGAGAGTGATGGGAAGTTAGAGACTGCGGCACAGAGAGGAGCTGGTAGCAGGGGAGGCTGGCTCTCTGGGCCCACAGGGGTGGGGCTGGCGTCCTGGCAGACTGATATACATAGTTCTAAGGAAAGGGCTTAGACAGACATCTGCATGGCTGAGGGAGTGTACAGTTGTACGTCAGGAGTCTGCACAGTTATACTCATGTAAATTAGTCGCACAGAGAAACTCACACCCCTGTGAAATGACTAATGCAGCCATGTTGAGGTGCAAAAGAGAGAAAGTTCACTGGGCCACAAGCTCAGCTAGTTGTCTATGCTGCCTTCTTACTGTGGAATTCTGGGGACTGGCAAAAGCAATTAGGTTGTGATATAGAACACATCCCAAGATGTGTTTCCATCAGAAAAATGAGACAGAAAACAATATGCAGAGTGTTAGAATTTGGAGTATGAAGCAACTATAAACAGTAGCCTTTGGTGAATATAACCCTAGATTCTTGTCTCTGACCTAGTGGAGGCCATCTTGCTCAGAATGTTGTGCCTCCTTGTGTCCCCTAAGAGCAGCAATGACTGCTTGTGGTAGACCCTGAAAGGCCATTATCCCTTGCCTCACACTGAGACTGACCCTATGTTTATGTGCACAGTTCATGCCTCGAGCCACCATGGGATGGAGTCAAGCGAGTGCCCTTATTTAGCTCCGGCCAATGTTGTACAGGTTAACCCCACAGATAACTCGCTCTAAAGTGCGTGCCTCAGCCTCTGCCTCTGGGGATCTCTATAAAAGTAGTGACACAGCTGCTCTAAAAGGGACCACCATCCTATCCCCACCTGGCAGATGAGGAGCTTCAGAATTTGGGATACCAGCTGAAACCCACACATCGGCAGCTGCTGACAGGGCCCATGTTTCTTCTCCTGCACCTGTCCCCCATGGTGGGCGCTTCTTCCCAAGTCCGGAAGTGGCAGACTCTCCAGCACATTGCGTCCCCTTATCAGTTTCCACCACAGTCCTCATACTTGTGGCCATAAAGCTAAAAGGAGACAGGGGTGGGGACAAAGCCACCTAGGGTAGAAAGGTGTAGTGGGCGTCTCTGGGGCAGGGTGCCACTGACTCCAAGGCAATGACCTTCAAGGCCCTTCCCTGACACATGGGATTCCAGGGTTGCCTCCGTCATTTTTGACAGAAGAGTCATTTGTATACTTGTAGGGACAGGCAGCTCAGTGCCTGACAAGGCAGCCTGCTGTGTCAGTAGACAAAGTACTAACAGCAGAAGGCACTGCCTGTCTTTGCCCTATGTGACTTATGGTCCTAGCCTGAACTTTCAGGGGCCATAGAACAGAACAGGGGCTGCTGGCCCTGCTGGGACGGGACCTTAGGCATCCCGGGCTCCAATGCCTGCTTCTGCAGTCCTTATATCCCCTTTCTCTCAGCACAATCCGCCGACCTCCTTGGGACGCAAGTCCTGTTTCCCTCCAGGAGCATTTTAATGAGAACCACTTCTGTCTTTGTTCTAGTTTGATGGTGACAGTGCCTACGTGGGGATGAGTGACGGAAATCCAGAGCTCCTGCCAACCAGCCAGGTGAGTGCCCCTCCTCCCCGAGGGGGTCTGAGCCTTGGGCTGGTGGAGCCAAGATGCTGCTGGCATCGAGGTAGGAGGGCTGTAGTGCCGGAGTTGTAGGACAGAATCTAATGCTATTCTCTCAGTATTCAAATATCAGTTGAGTATTTATGGGAGACGGTCAAAGCAGGACCACAGTGCTGGCTGTAAACGAAGTCCCTGAATAAGGCTTACAGTGGGCATCACTGAGACCTTAACACTCTGAGTGTTTTGTCCACATTTCCAGCGTGAGGCACAGATTTCACAACAGTAATTTGAGATGTTCCATGCTCCCTGCCACTGCCTCCCTCCTACATAACATCTTTAGGGACATCTGTAGTGAGTGTCTACACACAGGTGAACAGATTCTATCCATCACACAGAATCAGTTGTCTGAGGCCACTCAGGAGGCTTATGGACATGGCAAAGAGGGCAGAGGGCAGAGGTTTCCTGGAAGGTCCTGTCTGGTGATCCAGACCTCTGGGCCTACAGACTGAATCATATTTTCCACAGAGAATAGAAAGTTGACATTTCTCACCTGTGAACATCCCCAGTACAGACTGTGAACAGGGAGGGGGTCCTTGCTGCTGTCTGTGGCAATATGGAGAATGGTACCCAAAGGTAGGAGAGCCTGCAGGATATGGCAGCAGCTAAAGATGCTACTGAGAACCTCAGGGAGCTGGAGGATGAGCCTGGCCCTGCTCTTGGCTTCTACCTCTGTCTTGGCAACTGAAGTTGGCTGGCCCCTCGGCTGTCATGATGGGTTCACATTTTTCTGTCTGGGGAAAACAAAAGCCTTTTAATTCACAGGCATAATGTACCTTATGCTGTGGCTAGTCTCACGAGGTCATAAATAAGATGTGAGCCTGTGGCCCATGGAAAGCTCTGCTAATGAGGAATAGAGTGCGGCCCAAGTTGCAGGGTTGCTGATACTGGGGTACCACACTCTACCCCTTCTCTAGCCTTCCCCATGTGAGCACTATGTCACCACTGCAAAGCTGCCTTTATTGCTATGCGTGCCAGCCTGCAGGAAGGTGAGCAAAAACTCCAAGTCCTGGGGATGTCACACTGCAATGCCTGGTTGTGCAGAATGTGGTCATCCCGGACGACCAGCACTCTCTCGACCTCTCAGTCACTCCCAAGTCTGCATCGAACTTTGTAGCATACTGTGTTCTGACGTCAAAACCTACCTATCACCTCCTCAAAGCACTGTTTGTGACCTCCAGGATTGTCTGTCACAACACCAGTTTGTTTTAATTTCTGGCTGTTGTTACTGCCTGTGGTCATCTACAGTATGAGTGTGATGACTTAGCTTTTATCGGTTTCCATTCAGCAGAAGGATATAGTCCCTTAACTGTCATGTATTCCATGAGGTTGTGGCTGCCACTCAGAAAGCACTCCAGGAATATTGATGTAATGTGTGAAGATGGCCTTTTTAATTTATCTTCTGAATCCTACCTTCCCTAACAGGAGAACATGATAGTTGGACTTCTCAAGAATTCTTCTACATCTGCCTAACTTAAAAGAAGACATTAAAGCTGGGTACACCTGGATTCCCAGCACTTGGGAAGCTGAGGTGGCAGACAGTGAGTTTGAGACCAGTCTTGGCTACCTAGTGCGTATACCTAGTATAGCAATACTCCAATACTCCATCTAATAGTATTAGTAGTCGTAATTAGAATTCCATAATATTAAGTCCAGCCAGCTGTACAAGCCAAATTCAATATCAGCAACTTTACAAATGCAGGTTAGACTTTTCATAGGATACCATTTTTGCTGCAAAACAAGTATTTCACAATACAGTGGCTAAAAACTACAGATGTGTAGGCAGTTTGTGGTTGTATTGGTTGGTAGTTTGGCTGGGCAGCAGCAGTAAGATCTGGCAAAACCTCCAGAGCTCTCACCCCCCCAAGATGGTTAACTTGAGACCGTTCACAAGGTAGGGGGCAGGTTTCCCAAAGAGGCAAGTCCAGAAGCTGCCAGACCACTTGAGGCCTAGACATGGACCTGGTCTATTGCTTCCTGCTCCATCCACTGGTCGAAGCCAGGCACAGGGCAAGTGTAGATTCAAGCAATGGGAAACAGATGCTAACCCTTGAACAGAGGAACTGTAAAATACTGTAGATTCTGAGAAACAGAGGATATGAGTTCAGGCTGGTCTGGCTGATGAATAAACTCGGGCTCTTGTAGGACACCATGGCTCAGTTGGATTCTACTGGCCTCTGGTCTTTAGTGACAAGAGATGGCCAGGTACTTTCTGTTTTTCATGGAGTCTGTATTTGAAAACGCACGCACGCGCGCGCGCACACACACACACACACACACACACTCACATCCCTTTCACGGGGTCTTGTCTTATCAACTGCAGGAATTGTACTGTCCCCGTTACTGTAGGACCCATATGAGCATGGAGAAAATGAAGGCTCAGAGTCAAAAGATTCTATTTCTTGTAAGTATGTTTATATGCCAGGCTCACCCAAGCAGCAAGGTTCACTGGGTGCCTTACCATTCAAAGGCCCTGGATCTGAGCAGGAAGCACTTTCTAGCAAACACTAAATTCTAGGGTGTTCCAAGCAGTAGCCTTAGGAGTCAACCTGGTAGAAATCAGTTCTCTCCTAGCTTAGGGCAGACCCCCAGCTGCCTGGATCTATTTGTCCAGGAGGCACAATCCATGAAGGGGAACCTACGTGGGAAGGGCTTGCGCTCCCACAGACCTGGATCACATTCCTAGCTCTTCTGTGCCATGTATGGCTCACATGTCTTTATGCAAGTGAGGTCAGCTTCCCACTACCAGGAAGAGTGACACCTGCCTCCTGGGGTCCTGGGAGAAGTAAATGAGGCAGGGCTGTGGGGTCTGTTGGCATTGTGTCAGTCTCTTTAACAGTCTAAGTTACCCAGATCCAGCCGCTATGAGTTTTGACTGCTAACCTATCTAGAAAATCGACCTCTGACAAGTGGGAACAAGTGGGATGGTCAGAATGCCAAACTCATTTTTCCAAAGGATAACTTGCTCTGAAGGTCCCCCATGTAACCCCCATAGAGCCTGCATCCTGGGCCATGCTGCAAACCTGCCCTCCTTTCATGTTCTCTGCAACCCCTGCTCTTTCCAACACTGAGTCTCCTCAGAGGAAGTCTCATCTCAGGCTTACTTTGGGGGAATCTAAACTAAGAGCCCGTGCAAAACATCAGTGTTCAGAGGAACTAGTAATGACTTATTTCTATTGTTTTATTCCCGTAAATAATGTTCTGGTTACATGAGATGAGCATCTGGTCATCTCCGTGTCAATACAAACACAGCTTCCTCTATGGGAAGCCCCTAGACATTTTTGCCTGGCAAATGTCTGCCCCTTCCAGGTACTGCAAATGTTAGTGTCTCAAGACGCCTTCCTGGCTGTGGGTAGTTTTCCAATTTTATGGCTGTAAATAATATTTATATGAGAGTTCTCAAGATTTTTCCCAAGAATGTGTGTGTGTGTGTGTGAGAGAGAGAGAGAAAGAGACAGAGAGAGACAGAGAGAGACAGAGGCAGAGATGGGGAGGGAAGGAGGGACAGAGACAGAGACAGAGAGGTGGAGGGAGGGAGGGAGGGAGGAAGGGAGAGGGAGAGAGAGAGAGAGAGAGAGAGAGAGAGAGAGAGAGAGAGAGAGAGAGAGGCAAATTGATCGATATGGATGACATGAGGTTTGCCAAATCTTCCAGTAGCATGAGTGGACACGGGGAAACCTGAAGGAGGGTCTGGTTTAGGCAGGTAAAGGATTCTAGACTGTAGCAGAGGCAGAGGAGATGGGGACAAGTAGATGGTCTGAAATGTGATTTTGGAAATCAAGCTAGCAGATTTTGAGGATGATAGACATTGAGAAAGAAGGAAGAGAGACATGGAACTGCTCTGTTTTGCTTCCAGCTCAACCCTCTGGGCAAAGACTCCAGCATGGCTGTGCCATCTTCTGCCTTAGAGGAGGGCAAAGACTCCAGCATGGCTGTGGTGTCTGCCACCTTGGGGAAGGGGAGGCTTGACAGGGTCAGACTGGAACATTTGACATTTGAGAGACTCAATTTAAATGGAGACACACATCTGAGTCTGGAGCCATCACATAAACTGTGAATTCTCAGCTCATGGATCAGAGCTCTGGGGATAAACGAAACTTACGAGAAGGGAGATGAACAGGAAGAGCAGATTACTGACTGATGAGCCCCCCCCTTTTAAAATGGAGTCTTTCTGTGGCCTTTCAAAGAGCCTTAAAAGCCATAGGCAGAGTGTTTCAAGGTGGAATGGAGGGTTAGGGAAAGATGGTCTTGGATCCACAGGTCCTCTCCAATACAGAACGATAAAATTAAAACGAGAACTCTGGAGGTAGAGGCAAGAGGATCACAAGTCTAAGGTTATCTTTAGGTACATAGCAAGTTCAAGGTCAGCCTGGGCTACACTAAACTATCTCAAGAACGTTAGAGGCAAACTTTAGGTCAATTAAAGATTTAAATGGACTGAGGGAAATTTTAAGTGCACCAATGAGACCAAATCATAAGTGAACCAATAAGACCACCTTTAATGTGCTTGGTGGTTTGAAGCAGGGAGACACTTTAGAAGAAAAATATTTAAAAACTACACCACAAACTAGCATAAAATGATTTTTGTATTCAAGAACACCAGAGTGAAGATGCAGGTGGGAAACTGGGCAAGGATACTTTCAGCTCACAACATAGATGGAGGGCCAACTTCCTTAATACATAAAGACTTACGAGAAATCAATTCAAAATTGCAGTGGAGAAAAGGGAAGGAGCTCTGAGCCAATAGTTTACCGAAAGGAACCGCAAAAGGGAAACATAAAGTTGCCATTTTCACCTATCAGGCCAACAACAAATCCCAAGGCTTTATGACACATTCCCCAAGAGTTCTTGTAGGAAAACATTTGACACATTGTTTCAGGGAGTGGACACCGGTCCTTGTGGCTTTGTAGTGGAAGCCTCCTTCCAGTAGGGGGCAG